ATAAAAAAGGAGAAAAGAAAAAAAGAACAAAAAAAAAGTATCTTCGTTACTTCTTTCTCAATTTTTCGTTTCGTTTATCACTACAATAAAAAATTAACTTGAATTATATGTTGAATTTAATTAAAATTGATGAGGAGTTGCAAATGTTTCATTGTGACATATTAAAACAAAAAAAAAAAAAAAAAAAAAATAGAATAATGAAAAAAAAATATCTATCGTCTGTTTTTTATTCAGCGACATAATACAAAGTTTCATCTATTTACAGTTTTATTGTGACGTAATAAAAGAGAAAAAAAACAAAAAAGAAAAAAAAAAGGAAAACGAAAAATATCTTCTTTTTTTTTCTTTTGTTTTGTTTGTCTGTTTGTTTGTTCAATTGCTTCAATCATTTTTTAATGAAAATAGTTAAATTATAATTATATGAAATTAATATTGTCAAGTGTACCGAACGTTTTACTTTGGCATAATAAAAGAGAGAATAAAAATATGTTAATTACTTCATTCTTAATGTTCGGTATGTATTACTCTAATAAAAATAATAATGTTGCGTCAGTTTCAAATGTATTAGCATGACACAATGAGAGATCCCCTTCCCCCACTCCACTTCGAAGAAAAAAAAAAATAAAAAAAATAAAAGAACAATCTTAGCCACTTTGTTCTCAATTCTTTTTTCTTTTTGTCACTCTTTTGAAATAAATTAATATTGCCGAGTACTAAATTACGTCGTTATGACGTAATTAGAATGATCGATGAGAAAAAAGTAAATTCTTTGTTACTTTGTTACATTTTCAATTTCTTTTTTTTTTTTTTTTTGGTAATATTGCTAAGTTAATATATACCTAAGATGTTTATTATGGCATAATAAAAGAAATTTCTTTTTTTGTTATTTCATTCTTATATTTTTTGCTTGTTGACGCTCTAACGAAAGAAAAATTTTATATTAAAAAATTTTCTATCAAGTACGAAAGGTGTTACTACGACGTAATTTAGGAAAAAGAAAAGAAACGAAAATTCTGAAAAATTTTTTTTATTACTTCATTATAAATTTAATATCATTCCAATAAATATATTTTTAAATTATTGCCATATTTCATTAATAAAAATATAATACATCGGTATATCATTTTAAATTTGATATCATCTCAATAAATATACTTGTATTATTATCACATTATATTAGTAAAAATATAATACATATATACATACATATATACATTTAATTATTTAATTCACAATTAATCGTGTCATCCCAATGAGAACACTTAAGCTAAACTCTACGACTATTCTCATTATTTTTATTCTATGATATTTAAGATGACATTAATGGAAAAAAGAAATAGAGATCTCGTTTATTTAATATCTAATTGAAAAAAAGAATTAATTCATTTTTAAAACGAAACGATGAAATTTTTCATCGAGAAAAAAAAACTTTCCCTCTCTCTCCCTCTGTCTCTCTCTATCTATCTATCTATTTCTCTCTTTCTCACACAATGTAGAACAAACCAAAGAAAGAATAAAAAATTCTTATGAGTTTATCTACAGTAGTATACAGTTTGAATTTCATGGTTGAAAGAAAAGGTCGATAAACTTTCTCAACGAAACTGTCACGATTCTTAATACTCCGTGTCTCACCGTGTAACACATTATTTCTTAGATAGAGAAACTGAAAAAGGAATTGTATATAGACGGCACAAGTGAAGTCACTGAAAGTGGTAAGAAAAGAGGAAAAGAGGAAAGAGGAGCCAGGTTTGTAATTCATATTAGACTCTCCGAGGACAAAGCAATCAAGTTGCTTCGAGCGGTCGCGACATTCTCGAGTACTGGACTTCCGTATCAAATTAAACTTACAGATCCTTTGGTTCTACAAAGGAACAAAGTCGAAGAAAGAACAAATGAGTGAGTAAGTGAGTCAGTCAGTGAGTCATTGAATGAGTTCGTGAGTCAATGAGAGTTGCTCGATTATCGAATGAATGAATAAATTTATATAATATTCTTTTTCTTTTTCTTTCCCTCCTTTTTTTTTCTCTTTTTACTTATAATTATAATAATAATAATAATAATAATAATAATAATAATAATAATTAAACAATTAAATTATTAACTAAGGATTAAGCAAGCGACCGACTGAAGAGAATGAATTTGTTAATCATTAATAATCACTCAGTTATCGAATGAATGAATAAATTTATATAATTTTTTGTTTTCTTCTTTTTTCTCTCTTTTATTTTATCCATAATTATGATAATTATTAAACAAGAAAATTAATAACCGAGCGAATGAATTTATGAATCATTTAAAGCTGTTCAGTTATTGAATGAATGAGTGAATTTATATCTTTCTTTTTCTCTCTCTCTCTTTTATATATATATATATATATATATATATATATATATACCTCTAATTATAATACTAATTAAAAAATATCGTCAATTAAAAAAATTATAACAATAAGAGTTAATGAATAAAATAAAATCAAACGCATCGATGTTATCATTTTACATGTTTCCGTGAAACTAAAATTGAAACTAAAGCACAACGACAATAAAACGTTTCTTTTATAAGTTGATAACTTAGAAAAACTGTCAACTAAAGTATAAACGTGATACGAATGTAGAAATAAAACGTGCTAACGTTAGATCAAAGTTCAACGAACGTATCCACGGATCTCATACCGAGACTTTTCACGATGGTTTATCAAATTTAATTAGATCGTAGTTTGACTTGAAATAACGATCGTTGTTCTTTCTCAAAAAAAAAAAAAAGACAAAAAAATAAAAAAATAAAAAAATGAAAATGGCATCGTTCGAAGTTTTATCTTTATTTAATAAAAAATGAAGTTGAATTTAATCAAATATATATATATATATAAATCGTTTTTATGTACATAGATATTTTATAAATTTCTTCTTCTTTTTTGTTTTTTTTTTTTTTATTCTTTTTTTTATTTATCCAACGCTTGAAAAATTTTTTCTCATTACTTTTGAAGGAAATCGGATCGACTGGTCGAAAAGCTCCTCACTGTGAATAAATTTTCAACGAAGTACGTAATTCTTGGCGATTATGGTGTACCGTCAGAAGGGGAAAAAAAAGGAAAGAGAAAAAGGATATATTCCTCCTGTCGTAAAAACGGAAGAAACGAAAAGAGAAACCTCTTAATGTTTCGAATCTTACGGATTCACGGCTGCTTTTACAGGACTGCGAATTAAAATATCATGGTACCTCGCTAATTGTAAGATTCTGGATGACTCGTCTCGACTCAATCTTCTCTCTCTATTTCCTTCACTCCCCCTCCACCCCTCTCTCTCTCTCTCTCTCTCTCATTCTTTCTCCGACTTTTAATTCGAATATTTATATACCTATATATCATTTTTAGATTTGCAAAGTAAATCGAACAAAGTTTTGTGATAAGTACTCGATTATTTCTTAACTTTTCAACGTTTCTAATCGATAATATTTTTGTATATAACTAAGAATAATATATATATATATATATATATATATATATATATATATATATAAACCGTAGAATTTAGTTTCACACATATATACACATATACGAATGCTTTCCCTCGAAGCGATAGCAAAAGTGTACCGTACTCGCGAAACATGTAAGTTTGCATTAAACATTTTCAGCTTACATGAGGTAGAGGGACTCGATGTTGTTAGGTTTCTAGAATGTAAGAGGATGGGATATGCTAGCAAACCATACTCCTAGGAGTTACTCTCCAAGTTCTCTCTACTATACTATAAGGTTAAATACGAATAGGTCCAAATATTATCTGCCGCTTCGTTGTTTATTAATCTTTCAATGTTTTCTCTTTTTTTCTATTTTTCTTTTCTTTCTTTTTTTTTTTTTTTTTTTTTTTTTTCTTTTGAATATTTCTCCTACTTCGTTTAATATACACGTATATTCAATTATCAACGAAACAAATTCGATATGTTAATTTTTAACTAGATATTATCTCCAAAGCCGATTATATGGCTTACTTAAATATCGTACATATTAATATGAAGAACCTGAGATGGAAAATCACGAAATATTTCATCGATTCGAATTTTTGATTATTAAAATGTTAAATTATTCAATTATTAATTATTACAGATATAAATGGATTTAATATCTCATTTCGACATAAAGAAATTCAACAAAATAATACAATTTTCTATCTTATTATCTTTTAGAAAAAGTACTATCGAAGTTGAAAACTTCGATATATATTATATATTATCTTTAACTCTCTTTTCGTTCCAGTTTTTAGTATATCGTATTGGAACATGCACATCTCGCATTCGAGTTTTCATCTATTGTTTCGTGTACAGCAACACGAACTGAAACGTTGAAAATGACGCACGAAAAGTCTTGCCTTAGGGGCTGAAATGATTCCCATCACGCACTTGCTGCAAATTTCAAACGAAAGACATACGAGCATGTATACGGTAGTTTGCGATAACAACCATAAATCACACGTCGAGCTTTTGGAAACAATTGAGAAATAAGCTAGCGATTCTCCCGGATTTGTACGATTTTGATTATCTTATTGTATTTTATAATTTTTGAATTGATTGAATGAGAACGTAAGACCAAAAAAAATTATTAATTATATAATAATAATAATAATAATAATAATAATAATAATAATAATAATAATAATAATAATAATAATAATAATAATAATAATAATAATAATGATGATGATGATGATGATGATACTCATTCTTCATAAGGAAAATATACATAGTTAGCGTATCACGTTAAATAAATTGTAAACACTAATACATATATATGTATATACATATAAATATATATATGTACACAAACTCGATCTCCGAAAGTTGTAAGAATCCTTCAGACGCGATAACCTTCTCATGAGAGTGCCAAGAGCAAAGTGACGCTCGAGTAACAACGCGTTTAGTATGTCGGCGATGTTCGAACGTCCTCGGGTAAGTTCGGGAACACTCGGTAGTCGCGGGAGGCCTTAGCCACTCGTGGTCTCCCGTACTCGACTTCTCAGTGCTGTTTCGGACGCGGACGAGAGTGGACGTGTATTATTCGTTGTCTCTCTCTTTCTCTCCTCTTCATCATCGTCGTCGTCATCGTCATTATCATTATCATTATCATTATCAATCTCGTTCTCGTTGTCCCTTGAGAATTGAAGAAACGAATTTATGAAGATTTTCAACGATATTTATTCGTTCATCAATATATAACTTAGTGTAAATGTGCGCCGATATATTATCGTTATAATGTGTATTCCTCTACATATCTGGCGATAGAAAGAAAAGAAAAGAAAAGGGGAAAAAAAAAGACAAAAAAAAAGACAAAAAAAAAAGAAAAAGAGGAAAAAGAAAAAAAAAGGAAGGAGCAAAGAATGTGATAAATAAAAATTATCACATTCTTGGAATTACTCTACAAACGTAGTTCTTCGTTTTAGTGAAAGTAGTCGTGTAGCGGTGATAACGAGCTAGAATAGAGATAACGTATATATTAACGAGTGAACGTTCGATAGTGAGGAAAAAAAAAGAAAGAAAGTGAGAGAGAGAGAGAGAGAGAGAGAGAGAGAGAGAGAGAGAAGGGGGGAGAAAGAAAAGAAAACGAAAATAAATCTAAAGGGGACAGAAAGAGAAGGAACGTCGGAGAAGATAATTACTTCTCGATGAATACGACATCTTATTGCCCATATAGTGTAATAACTATCTTACGTAAATAAATTATCAAAGATCCTACGAATTTTTATCTCTTTGTGAAATTAACAAGTAAACTATAAAGAAGAACAATACGGAAACGAGAAAGGAATGATCCGTGAGTGACCCGCGTATCTGTGTTATAGATTAATTGATCGTATTTACGTCTAACTTAGTTATTCGATTATCAAAAAAAAAAAAAAAAAAAAAAAAAAAAAAATACAACTACCATATTTACTCCACACGTTCAACACGTTCAGTAATCTTCGTCTTGGTTATTATCTCATACTCGAAGATATCTAACGGTTTTTTTACTAGTATCTCTTATAAAACGTTTACGTATAAAAATATATCGTTTCAACGAAAAAGCATAAAAATATTCATAAAATGTGCGACATTGTTGTATCCATCGTTAAGCAACATTCGTTATTTCAATGAAAACATTTAATCTTTAGTTAAATCTTTTTTGCAATTTATAAGATTTGTTTTGTTAATAATAAATTTTTCAGGATTTGTTAAAAATTCCATTGTTCTAATAGTCTCACGTTGTGACCGTGCCTATTTTGTTTGCTTTTTCTTTTCGACATATTTGTCTTTTTTTTTTTTTTTGTTTTGTTTTTTTTTTTGTTTTTTCCTTCGTCCTTTGTCAATAATTCATCGCGAAACGAATTGTGAAGGTGAAAACAAGGGCAAAAGAAAAAACTTAATTATAGATCTTAAAAAACGTTTCGTACGATCGATCTTATCCTTCTCGTACACAGTGCTGTGACCAAAAAGAAAAAAAGAAGAAGAAGAAGAAGAAGAAGAGGAAGAAGAAAAAGAAGAAGAGAAAAAATTTTGTGGTATCTCTAGTTATCCAAGCAACTAGCTAAAACCAACCAGCTAGACAGTTTGAAACGAACATCGTTATATCTCTCTTACTCTATTTCTAACAGTTAGAGAGTTGATACAGGTAAATGTATGTAGATAAAACCTCTCATTTATTTCCCGATCGTAATTCCTCGTTTCTATACTTTTCTTTTCTTTTTTTTTGTTTTATTTTCTTTTTTTTTTTTGTCTAACTCTATAGTTTAAAAGTTAGCTACGACAAAAATGGAAAGAAAAATATCTACTGATAAAAAAAAAAAAGAAACATTGCTCGAGTGTGACTGAACCCGATCGTATTTGTATAAACTTGTACATATGTACATTCACATACACGCTCACACACACACACACACATATATATATATATATATATATATATATATTGTGTACTAGTTCGCTTTTGTAAAGAAAATGTTCCATAACGTGTTTGCTTTACACCAGGTCACGTGGTTTTTCGTTCAATTAGATCGATCATTATTTGTCGTTAAAAGCCACAAAAAAAAATTGAAATTTAGAGAAATTAAATGTTTTCTATAATGAGCCTCTTTTTTTTTTTTTTTTTTTTTTATAGCGCTGTATGAATATTTATATTTCATATCAAAAAAGAAAATAATATATTTTGTAGAATAGTTACTTCTTCTAAGTGATCGGAAAAAAATAATAATTGAAGAAACGAAACGAGACAAAATAGAAATTGGAAGGAAAAAATCGGAAGCGTAAAAAATATAAGAAGATTGAAAAAAGTAAATAGAAAGGAGTTATTTAATGAAATGATAAATATATCATCATTGGTATTAAAATTACTTGTTGCTTGTATTTTTTTTTTTTTTTTTTTTTTTTTTTTTTATTAAACAGAAAGAAAAATTTATGGAGAAAAGAATCATGCTAAAAGAAAATGCAAAACATACAATTAATTTCATTCTAAGACTCTCGATATGTATGCATAATATATAATAATACGAAATATATAAAAAATACGAAATACATAATATATAAAAAATACGAAAGAGATTAACAGAATGTTTCATCCATATGTTATAAAAATGATTAACAAAATCAATGTCAATGAGTTACATAATGTAATATTATTTACTGATAGATATATAGTCATTAGAGCTAAAAGAATCTCTTTTTTTTTATTAAAAAAAAAAATATATATATATATATATATATATATATATATATATATATGCACAATCAAAAGTTTGTACTTATACGAACATAATATATTTGACGAGATAATTATTATTAATATAATAAAATAACAATGCATCAGACTTTATTAAATGATGCACGTACTACGAAATGTAGGGTTAAGAGCGACGAGCATTATTGACTCTACACATACACACACACATACTTATACATATGTATGTATATTTAACGATCGTGACCGCAAGTGGGATAATCATTTCGAGAACGCGTCAGATGTCGGATCATTGATACATACGATCGTGTTCATCGTCCAGTTACATGCGTGGTTAATACGTAATTTGAAGCTGACAGAAAGTCACGAAAATTAACGAGGAACGACGATCGTTCGTCTGCGTATGACGACTCATTTCCATTTTGATTTTATTATATGTATATAGATAAATTATCTGTTTAGATTGTTTATATCATTTTCATTTGAATTAATCAAAATTATTTCAATGTATAATTATTTTCCTTAAAACGAATTATTTATATCTATATTATTTACATGTTATAATTTATTGAAAATTTTTTATATTTATTATTATGAAAATTTATATATATATATATATATATATATATATATATATATAAATGTATATATAAATTTTTGATATACATATGTACAAAATTATATAAAATAATTATACAAATATTATAAGTTATAATAAAATTGATATATAAATGTATACGAAATGACATAAGAATTTATCCACTAACACTTATAAAAATTTTATTCGATGCACTTAACTTATCTCAAAGCATTTATTCATTCACTTTTAAGTATCAAGTATCGATTCTTAGAAAATTGATAAAAGGATCCTGGTGATATCATATAACGAAACCTTGATGCAGAAGTTGCCTCTTCAATAAGATATATATATACATATTTATTATTATTTCAAAATGTATTCGCCTATTTTATATGCATATATACTCAAGATATACACACATCGAAACTTATTTTGGAAATTAATAAAAATTGAATAATCATCGATTTCGAATTTGCACTTAACGTCTTGTCGACACTTTTTTTTCTTTCTTCATTTTTTTTTTTTTTTTTTTTTTTTTTTTTGACATGCTTTCTTCAGATTTATATACATATTTTTTGAGCCAGCATAGAGGAAAAAGAAAAATGAAAAAATAAAAAAAGGGAAAAGAAGAATAAAAAATACAAAACGAAAACATTCATGATTTGTTGTTTTTCGAACGTTATGAATTTTACGAACTGTTTCCTGAAAAATATATTGGACAGATTTTTGCTTTTATTTTTCGTTCGGTTCTCTTTTTTTTTCTTTTTTTTTTCTTCTTTTTTTTTTTTTTTTTTGACGGCCCACCACCTTCGCCATATCCGATAAATCAACGTTTTGGCATTTCGACACTAAAATCTTCGCTAAGGAGAGAGGAGGACGGTCGAGAGAGTTTAGTGCAACACCGAGTGTTCGATTTCCCATAAAATGCTACTGCTTGCTATTATCCAACGAAAAGCTACGCCAGCATATGAACGAATGAAAAAGAAACGAAGTAATAAATAAAACAACAATAAAATAAAAAAAATGAATGAGCATACTAGTGACGTGGAATATATAGAATGACCTACATTATAACGTAATTATATTGATATATATATATATATATATATATATATATATATAACATATGAAAAATTCGAACAAAATGAAGAATACGAAGATGAGCTTAGAAAAACGTGTACTTTTGTTTATAACAATATCAAATAGTAAAGCGTATAATTAAAGCATATCATTGATATATGATATGTATAAATATCTCGTAAAGAGAAAAGAAAAAAAAAAGAAAGAAAAAAGGAAAAAGAAATTAAAAAAAGAAGAAGAAAAAAGAGAAGTTCACTTTCGAATTTCAAATTTTATACAATTTTTAAAGAAATATATATAAAAAAAAGAAAAAACAAAAAAGAAAAAGGAAAGAGATAATGAAATTAAAATTACGTTATAATATGAATATACAAACACACACACACACACATACATATATTCGTTTATGTTACAACGAAAGAAAGAAAGAGAGAAAATGTCGACATTAGACAAAAGATGAGGAAACAAATTAATAAATAAAAAGATGGAGAGATAAAGAAAAGAAAAAAGAATAGAGAAGAAGAAAAATTAAAAGAAACAAAAAGAAATAAAATCGTAGAAAGTAGTACTGTATAACGTAAGTACATAAGTCAATTTAATTACGTTAAATCGATCGTTAAGAGTTAAGAAGGTAACGACTCTCGCGTTTATAGAAAGTATCGTAAAATGAACGGAGAAACGAAAGAGTTTCTTCCCCCCCCTCCTCCTCCTCCTCCTCCTCCTCCTCTTTCTCCTCCTTTGCTCCTTCTTCAACGGTCTATGCGTCTTCGTCGTCCTTTCGTAGCGAAATAACTCGGCACGCGTGCGAAGGTACCGGTTCGAGTCGACGAACTCGAAGAAGGTTGACCAAGGCCGTTCGGGTTTATTTATAGCGGCGATTTAACGTTCCAGACTTTTGCCGAGAATGGTATTTTCGTAGATCCGTAACCAAAAGAGAAAGAGAGAGAGGGAGAGAGAAAGAGAAAAAGAGGTCGAAAGTATACGTAGACGAAATGTCAGAAATGAGACGATTATAATTTCTTGAATTATAATAATTTTAAGTGCACTCATCTATCCTCCCATTCTCCCTCCCCTTCCATTCCACTCTAGCACACCACCACACCTTCGATAGATTTTAAATGACTTTCGTAAAGGGATATATCGAAAATGTTTATAATATGAAGAAATAAAAAAAAAAAAAATCTAATTTGAATTTAATCGTATTTTTTTTTTTTTTTACTTCTAATTTATTCGTATTTTTATTTTTCTTTTGTTTTTTTTTGTTTTTTTTTTTTTTGTTTTTTCTTTGTTTTGCTTTTTATTTTTCCTTTGTATTCTTTATCCCTTGGAAATTTTATTCTCGAAAGAGACTTCTTCAGTCGAATTTCCATTACAATCATGGACTTTGTTCTGTGAAAATACGTATCGATTCTTTTAAGCTCTCGCATGTGCATTATCAGTTTTTTTTTTTTTTTTCTTTTATTTTTTTTTTTTTTTTTTTTTTTAGTATTTGTCATTGTAGTATTTGTCAAAAAGCTAACGACAGGATGTGCATAACGAGACTAATAATTATTAATTTATCTGCATACATTATAAGTAGGCATTATTTAATTGAATAATCGTTTTCCTCGTTTAACTTTTTTTCAACATTTAAATTCGTTTCCATTCATTTCAATTTTGTCCTCTTTCAACATTCAATAAGAATTCAATAATGAACAATTCAGTCCATTAGATTTTTCTTCTTTGATTTTAGATTTTTAAATTATACGAACTATTCTATTGTCTATTCTATTATCTAATCCCTGTTTCAATGTAATATTTTACATTTCATTTATCATTATGCATACGTGCATACATACATATTAATTATGCTTTAGAGAATTTTAAGTAGTAATGTAACTTGAAATAATATCGTGCATACACATCGAATTTATTTTGATGTTCTCAATATTATTATTATTATTATTATTATTATTATTATTATTATTATTATTATTATTATTATTATTATTATTATTATTATTATTATTATAAAAAGCAAAAAAAAATATGCGTTACATTTAAAAAAGTAAATTTCGATGATCTTACATTTTATCAATAAAAAATAAGTATTTAACAAATCGTTATTATCGTGTGTAACTTATCGCCAATGAAAAACTGTTAAATTTATGTCTATATATCTTTATTTTTTTTTTTTGTTTTTACTGAATTATCGTAAGTGCTTTAAACACCATGGTTACCGTTACGAAGATCATTCACTATACTATATATATATATGTATTTATATGACTAAAAATGC